CCTTATAGGAGTGGTATAGGAGGCTTATGGGAGACTACCCACCTTATAACTACCCACCTGTAAAGGGCTTAGACTTTAGGTATTTGACTCTTTTGGGTAATTGGCTGTTTCCATTTAGCCTAGGAGCCCCCCAAGGCCTGGGGCATTTAGTCTAGGCTACAAAGATACAGTTTCAGGAATCATAAGGGGTACTGTTGACGGACAAAATCCTGCATGACCCAAATATAGTACAGTACCATAAATCCCCTAGTTTAGGCATATAGGGTCATGCAGGATTTCGTCCATCAACCGGATCATTTCGATTTGTTATTGTTCGACCCCTAAGGCATTGTATATATAGTTAGCAGTTGGTTACAGGAAGCCGAAATGGGGGACGGTGAGTTCTTACAACATAATCATTTTGTGGCCTAAGACAACACCCAAAGGATCTATGTACACAAATAGTAGATACCTTGGCCCCAAAGTACCCAAATAGGGACTACTTTAATGTAGTACTTAGGGGACATGAATTATTCGGGAGAGCACTGAATATTGAATCTGAAGAAGTCTGGGTGCGTCAGTCTTGCATCCATGCAGGCCATGGTCTTGTCTAGCTTGCACGCCCACTGAAGGCAGTGACAAGGCTACCTAGGACAATGCTTGTTGCACTCGGCTTGCCACTAGTAGAGGACCGCCGCTGCCGCGGGCGCCCTCAACTACACTGCCCGCCTGTGTACGGCCCTCAACACTAAGCCCTAATCCCTATCGACCTGACTTTGAAGCCTAAACCCGTCTGTACTACAGTAGGGGCCCAGGCTGTGTCGGAGAGCCAAACAGGCTGTCCTGCAAGGATGCGCTGACCCGTATCGGACTTAGGGTGAAGGCCTGCCCGAAGTAACGTTCAACAGTTTAGGAATATCCCAACCTGAAACCCAAGCCCTCGCAGCCCCTTAGGGTCCAGGCACCCAAGGATGAGGGTTACAGCTGCCCAAACACCATTCAGTGAACGGGTTTTTGAGTCTCAAACCCATCCTATTTGGGCACTTGAACCCTTAGGGAACTATATATCAAGCATCGGTTTACCGACTCTAAAGATAAAGCAGACGAGGGGGCATGCCAGCTTCTAAGGCGCACGGATTAAGCGTTTTCATATGCTTTCATCATGCTTCCTGAGAGCCCCAGACTCGACATTCCCTTAAATCCTGCAGGATTCTTAACCTGAGAGCGAAACCAGTACCCAAAGCTCGAAACCCTGCTTCCGAAATGCCCGAACCCCGAATGCCAACTCTAAACCCGCAAATCCCACGCTCTAGACCAACAAACCCTTGGCCCCAAAAATAATCAAGACTGTGTTTGATGACCCACTGGTATATGGGTAGTTTTCTAAATTAGGGTCCCTCTTTGGGTCCCCATATAGTAGGGCACCAGTATAAAAACAAGCAAAAAGTTCGAACATGTCTCACAAGGCAAACCAAGAAAGCCCGAACCCACTTCGCTTCACAGCTGGGTGATTGGAGTATACCTATAGGGTCATACCCTACCCCTTTTTTAAGGTACCTACTTTTTTATATAGCAGATCCTAACCATAGAACTAGGTACCTTAAAAAAGGGGTAGGGTATGACCCTATAGATATTTGAAGCCAGGGCTTCTCTGGTTTAGGATTTCTGAGGATAAACGAGTGCAAAGTTTACGTAAGAGCTCAAGGCTTCCGGGAAACCCTAAACCCTAAACCCTAAACCCTAAACCCCTAAACCCTAAACCCTAAACCCTAAACCCTAAACCCTAAACCCTAGCCTTGGAGTGTCGGCTTCAGGGGATAAGGGGAATAGGGCTTGAAGGTTTGGGCTTTGGGGTTTGGAGGGTGTAGAGGTTTAAGGTTTAGGGTTTAGGGTTTAGGGTAGGGTGTAGAGGTTTAAGGACTTAGAGTTTACGTCTTCCTGGCGTTTACCTAAAGCTCCAACTTACACCCCAACGTACGCCGAAAATACATAGAAGCAGTACTCTGGGTTGCGAGGACCCCCAGTACCTGATAACAGAGCTCGCATGGTCTGCTGACGGTGGGTGTTTCGGCGACAGCATGCGGAGCTGGAGCGGTCTTTTTGGAGCCCTGAGCAACTCGAATAGGCTTCGGGATGCTTTGAGTATATCTACTAAATATTCGCCTCATCTACTATTCGCCGATGCGCATGAATCAATATAGTTTGGAACCCTAAGGAAAAGTATCGGTTGTTCTTCAGGCTTCTATATTAATTAGGTAAGGCCAGCAGGAGAGTTCGGGGTTCGGGTTCAGGGCTTCGGGTTTCGGGTTTAGGGTTTAGTGTTAACAAGTCTCCGAGGCATGCACAGAGGCTGTCGTAGAAGCAACACGAGTGCAGAGCGACCAAGCTGGTAATCACATTCTCACATGAGCCCTAAAACATTTTTCCTTTGCCATGTGCCAAGCTGCCTCACCCGTTGTCAACCGGCGCGCGCTTAGAGATCTCACATTCAAGGGCGGTCACTGCAATTCCTTGTGCAGCTTTTCGAGGATGTGTTTCAAGGAAGCCTGGCTCTCCAAGATTCGAGAGATTTTGCTGGCTTCTCCCTCACTGAGTTTGCGCCCTGCGGTAAACGCATGACTTTGATAGGCAGGCACGGCGGGCTCGGGGAGAAGGTTTTTGCATCTGAGAATCTCATCTTTCAATGCCACCAGCGGCCTCCGAAGCTCCTGCTGCTTCACGGCCACCTCCAGGAGGATGTCGGGTTCGGATTTGCGGAGCAGCTCAAGGTCCTCCTTTGCGCCTTGCTTGGCCAAGACACGAACGCATCTTTCGTATTGTGATTTCAATCCGTGCTTTCGTGCTTGCAGGAGGCGCGTGGCAGTGGCGGGAAGACGAAGAAGATGTGCTTCGCAGGCTTGCTTGATGGTGACCACCTGGTAGTAGTCACTTATGGCAAGAAGCGAATCAACATTCTCCTTTGTCACTGCACCGGTGCTCCATGCCGTCGGTGCCAGGAGGTTGTAGAAGATCTTGAACTCCTCCTTGCTGGCCAAATCCACCCTGATCACGCTTTGCTGTGCCTCCATCATGCCACTCTGGAGCATGCGGTTGAACACAGGCGAAGCCAAGCGCAGCAGAATTGAGTTGGCAGGCATTGAGTCGTCTGGGGGATCGCCGACCTCGCCGAACTCAAGCCGTACATCGCTGACCTGATCCAAAGTGGCCGCTGTGGTCATCTCGTTATTGTCGTCCTCCAGTGGCCTTTTGGTTCCCCTCTCCATCATGTGCGAGAGGACCACCGCCTAATAGTAGCTGCAAAACAGTAATTAGGCGCCGAAAGTGAACTGCACTGTAGCTGTAAATGTGTCCGGGGCTGCTCATGCAAAAAACTAGTATCACCTCGTTTTCCTAATTCCTATAAGCCACAATGAGTTACACTTCCCCTTCTAGCGGAAATACATGCGCTCAACAAGTGAATAACTGGGAAGGTCAGCGCTGTATTGAGCTCTACATCTGAAACTCAGAGTTCGACGCCACACTGACTGCTAGAGAGCTGCACATCGAAACGATCTCAGCAGTAATCAATCCGAAGATACATTCCATAGCACTCGAGAGCATGTCAATGTCTGATTGTTGGAGCCAAGTCTGCATCATGTCGCAAGTGCATCCAAGAACCGTGAGGCTTAGGGTTTAGGGAAAGTTGGGGCTTCCTGTTCAGACGACGACACATAAACAAAAAGCTGTGTGTGATTACGAGTGTCAGCGCACACGCTTTAGTCGGAAAGGCCGGAATAATTTGAGGGGACTTGTAGCATATCTATACGAGGGAACCCTAAGGAAAACTAGAAAGCAGTGCCCCGCAGACGCGGTCTGGAGAGGAGGTTACATCAAGCTCGGGCCTCGGTTAAGCTTGAGGCAAAGTGTTGAATAACGGACATATGAGGACGGATTAAACCCTAAACCCCTCAACCCTAAACTCTACAGCACTCGAGACTCTGGGAAGGGGGTGACCAAAGGTGTTGCAGCGGTGAATGGGAAAGGTTGGGAAAATCCACAGGACGTTTGAGATCGGCTCTCGAAATCCGAAACATGTTAAAGGTTGCCTGCTCAGCCACAAAGATTTTGCAAGCATTGCACGGTTTGCAGCTGTTCCCCTGTGTCTGCACCTATCCTGCGAACTCAGGTATCCCCCTGTCCGAATGTACGGTCCATAGTGTCCAAGGAAAACCAAGCTGTTCAGCAACCAACTGGGAAAAAGTGTATAATTTTGGGGTAAGTTATATTATATTAGGAACCAATACCCCAAAAAAGTAAACAAGGATATCCTAGAACAAGTGTTCATCTATGTGTAAACGACTAAGGACCCCCCACGCCCCGCCCCCAAGCTCCAGAGGCTTCATCCGTTGGGTGAGGCTTCAGGCGGATAGTGAGAACAAAGACAGAATTCTCCGGCACCTGGGCGCGCATGCGTTGAGGCTTCCGGGTTTAGGTTTCTGTTGGTTGAAATTAAGTGCGTCTGGTTTGGGGCCTTGTGTAGTTGTCGGTTTGGGGGCCCAGCTAAGAATCACATACGCTTTCTCTACCATTCCTCCGTGTAGCTGTGTACCAAGAGTATTGACAACTATAGTAGCTCTGGGGGCTTCACGTAGGGCCAAGGGTCTAATATACGGGCCTGAATAATTACAGTAGGGTTCTCGGGTATACTATACTATAACTATAATGAGGAACCCCTAGAATTGGCATTGGTAAGTTTAGGCCCCTAGAATATTTGTGCAGGAATGCATCGCTAGCTGGCCGGCCGCAGGGTTTTGGGAAAAAAATATACGAAACCATAAAAGGGAAAACCTAAACTGGTACTGGTAGTTGTTCAGGCCCCAGTATCACTTGTACAGGAATGCAATGCTAGCTGGCCGGCCGCTGTAGGCCAAAGGACTTGGCGTATGTGACTTCGGCAGTGCCCTGAGGGTTTAGGGTTTAGGGTAGTCACCGCGCCCTTCGCCCTGAACCCTGAACCCTCAAATAAGCTGTTTGACCGATCTGTCCAGACTCTATTGCGCACTCTGGAAAGCACGACCCGAAACAAGCTGCACAGGTACTTGCGCCCAGGCCTCCATGACAAGTTCTAAGGGCCCTTAGGGCCTCCGAACAGCGGTATCCTACCACACCATGAGTTGCGACGAGTCTTGATGCGATCCTCTATAAAGGTCTGGGAACAGACAATACCGCAAGAAAGGCTGTGAAGGAAGACTCTGGCTGATTGTTCGGCGTCCTGCAATCGCTCCTCCATATGGAGCTACTTGTCAAAACTATTGATTGCTAGGAAGCGCATGGGCATTATTCAGCAGCACAAGGAGGTGAACATGATGTGGTATCGACTGCTTCGTCCCAGAAGGCACCCCGTTCAGGGCGCCTCTACTATCATAGAGCACAGGGATGTAGGACTGGAACACCCCTTTCATAGGTTCTAACACAACTTCATGTTTATCTCAGGAGTGATTGCTTCGGAGTGCTGGCGATCGCTCTGTTTAGAAACGGAGGCCTCTCCTAGCACAGGGAAATGAGTACTACCAGGGAACTAGATTGATCACAAGGTAAGGAAGGTCTCAAGGTGATGCAGTGCAGGAGCTTCATGGTTTAGGCCGTTTGGGTAGGAGAGACGCATGCCAGTGCCAGTTTTTCCCTACGCCGGGTCCCTCAACCGCTACAAAGCCCACAAACCCTAAAGCCCAATGCTCGACCCAATACCCCGAACCCAGGCATCCCATACCATAAAGCCTAAACCAGGATTTCTAAACAAACTGCCGGGCCTTACCGCTTAGGCCCGGAACCCTTTTAATACCCAGACCCTGAAATGTAGTACCTTTTTTTGGATGACTTTTCCTTTGGTTAGGATCTCATAGCACGAAACTAAGATGACCAAAAATAGTGCTACATTTAAGGGTCTAGGTAGCCCTTCGAGAACCCTTCTAAGGAACGCCTTCTTGTCGCAATTCGCAGACAAAGTCCAGGTTTTCTCCTGCAGTGCAGCAGAACACGCACGGGCCTCCCGCCCACCCCTTAGCCAACCCTAAGGCTCAAAGTAGCCCAAAAGCCCTGAATAGTATGGTCTTTGACCCCACAAGCCTTAGAATATGAGCCCATTAGAGCCTTAGCATAAGGGCGTTCTAGGAGTTTGGAAAGGGTTTAGAGACATGCACCCCATAACAAATAAAGGGCTTTGCAAGATGAAACATAAAGAACTTGGAGAGCTCTACCTTAAATCATGCTACGTACTAGACCCCAAACCCTAAATCCCTGAACGATAGCCCCTAAACCCTAAGCCCCAATTCCCCTAAACCCTAAATCCCCTAACCCTAATCCTCCTATAAAGAACCCTCAACACCAAAACCCTCAACCCCCTAACCCTAATCTTCAACCCTCAACCCGAAGTCGCTTGGGACTTCCAATTGTACTTTACGAATTTAGGGTTAGAGTTTAGGGTTTAGGGTCTAGGGTTTGGGGTTTAGGGCTTAGGGGCTAAACTGGGGCTTAGGGTTCAAGGTTTTGGTTTAGGATTTTGGGGTTTAGGGTTTAGGGCCTAAGCTAGGGCTTAGGGTTCAAGGTTTTGGGGTGTTGGGTTTTGGGCTTGGGGTTTAGGGTTTAGGGTTCCTGAGTACAAGGACACTTCGAAGTCCCGGAAGTCCCCACCCTTGACACCAAACAAATCGATGGAACTCTCCTGTAAGAGGTCCGAGGACATAAACAACCCCAGGTCTCCAAGTATACGCATAGTACCTACTTTGGGGTCTAGTCTAAAGTCTATACATAGTACCTACTTTGGGCTATTTGGAGCTCCAGGGAACCAACATTTGCAATGATACCTGCGCAGTTTCAGAGTGTTTTGGCAGTAATGCAATGACTTCATGAAGACTGGAAGATTTTCCCCGACTACACATGCACTGCAAAACCTGCATTACCTCCACAATCATGGTCAAGTATAACTCAGTATAACCCAAGAATATGCGTAACGGAAGGCTTTCAACTTTGGTCTTCAGCTTACTGCGCAGGTAACGTAGGGGCCTTATAATACTTAGAATAAGTTTTTTTTTTTTTTGAGGAGGAGGGGCTCCTCATATAATTGTAGTAGAATATAACCCAAACCCTATTCTAATTATTCAGGCCCCTATCTGAAGCTAACTCTTGCTTGTACTTACTAGCGCCACTAAGGTCCAATCCGAACAAGAACACACAATCTGAGAAAGCTCCACCTTTCGCAAAGCAAGCTGTGCGCCCTCTATCAACTGCGAAGTTTAGGCTTATTGAGTTTATTGCAGACATGGATCCAGCAAACAAAGCCCCGTGAGGAAGCCGATGTCTTCGCCGAACCTGCATAAGATCGGTGCTCTGGGGTATGGTATACTCTCAGTACAGCAAGGAGCCTTCTAAGGAACAGTATCGGTAACTGTTCCGATCCCTATATTGAGCTGATCCGGCTTGCCAGTCCTAAACCCTAAACCCTAAACCCTAAACCCTAAACCCTAAACCCCAGGGTGATCCCTGGGGTTTAGGATTGAGGGGCTGGACCTTGTGTGCGTCTCCCATCTCCAGGGTTGTAGGGCTTTGTGCCCTACTTGGAGGTTCATGGGACTCAAAAAATGTACAGTTATAAGTACCTTATTGGGGATATAAGTAACTATTATAAGTATAGCTGCCGTGTCTATAACCCTAGTTACCAAGTCTCATGAACCTGTAAGTACGGTTATCGATAGCTTTTGAGTTCACAGTTTTGCGGTCCAGGCATACAAGCTTTAGGACATGAAGACGTGATAACTTCTGGCAGCCAGTTACCTGTATAATGGAAGACTTTGCAACTGTTGTATGTGTCGGGCCCAGCGACAGCAATCTACTACATGGAAGCTGATCCTGCGTGCATGTTGGCGACAGAACCATAGACCCTAAACCTAATACCTGAGTCGATTTGCTTGATCTGCAAACCGAAGTTTTTCGCCAAATAAGCACTTGACGCTCAAGCCAAACCTTCTCGAAACAATTACTAATACTATTCCCGTACAGTGATCCGATAAAGCTGTAGTGGTATGGCATACCTCAATGCATGAGTCATCCGCACTCGTCCAGCCTACCGGGATCAAGTAAACTCTCCGAGTCCCATTTCGTCTCGGCGAGGTCAAATTCACAACCCTAAGCCCTGGATTGAACCTCTAAACCCTAAAGTTTAGGGGTTAGGGTTTAAGGTTTAGGGTTTATCTAAGCCCTAAACCCTCAAATCCAAAACCCTTAAGCCTAT